GCAGTGCGAGGAGGCAAGGAGAAATTTCAATGGAGAACAAAGCATACTCCTTAATTAACACCCAACCTTATCCGCAGGTGTGGCTCGCGCTCCTGGTGATCGTGGCAACAGCCTCTGTGGTGCAGGCGCAGTTCAGGCTCCCCTTGCCTTCGCCTCCAAGAATTCTCTTCGGCGGCTTCAGGCCCTTTTTCTCCAGGCCACGCCCCCGACCACGCCCACGTCCTCCTGTGCTTGTCCCGGCGAATCAGTTCCTCCAGCAGCAGGTGAGTTTCCGGTTTGGATGGAAGTCGAGAGTGCAAGCCTTCCTTGGGATTTGCCTAATATTGACACGTTTTTATATTATTGCATGTATGAGATGTTTGGATATTTATTCACGTATGTGAGTTTCTTCCCTCGTTTCCCTGTCTTTCTGTTGATTGCGTAATACAAAGATCAGATTCATAGGCATTCTATTGGGTGTTAAAATATAGTCTAATGGTCGGTTACAAATGTCCATTTTGACTTGATAGGCAGTAATTATGACCTAAAAAAGTATATTTCAAGGGGTATGGTTGTGTTTCTGACTCGACGGTGCTTCAAGGTAACCAAACAACCATTTTTACATAAATACAGTATATTATCATTCCCCAAACCCTTAATGTTTGAAAATATGCAAAGGCATGAACATAGATTATAAGAATTCATGAAAGTTGATCCATTCATCTTTATTAACCAGTATTCCAGACTAATGAACATTAAATATATAAATAATTCTGGCATAACTGAGATGCATGATATAAGTATATTAATGGTTACTAATGAGACAGACAAAATCAGAAATGACTTTTATTTTTATCTGGTCTTATGCAAAAGTTGAAGACAGTCTTAAGAGACCTTTAAATCAACCCTTACATTCCACAGGACAGCTAATCCTCTTTCAGGTTGTTGAACAATGCCATTTTGGATTTGAAATGCCCTTTGTATTTCTTATCCTCTGGCAGCAAAGGGGGTAAGAGGTAGGGCGACATAGCTATCTTCACACACGAAGGAACAGGTATATTTTCTCATGATATTCGTTACATGTCTTCCCCACAGAGATTTCGTCTTTGCCTTGGGAGAAATGGGAGATTGCATCGTTGTCACAGATTTAGGACGGAGGTTGGAAGACAAAAGCATTTACTTTTTTCTTCTTTGTAGCTTTTTTATATGTAATTAAAAGGCTTGTACTAATAAAGGTTAAAGGGAGTGTACGTGGGATTTCATCCGTGCTAGGAGTTTTCCATGCAAAAATTCACACTAGTTTTCTCTAACATTTATTGTATAAAAATGCAAGACGGCAACTCATTAAAGGAAACAAGCATTTGTTAATAAAACACGTGTATGATATTTGTCTCTGCTGTCACATACCATGGAAATGCTTTGGACTGGCACCTCAACACACACCTACGTGCACCACCAGTTTACCTGAACACTTCTGCAAAAAAAAAAAAAATACATAGATATTTTTACACATAGGAGCATTTTCAATTCTTTACTCTTCCCCGTTTTTCTTGATTCTGCATTTACACAAGACATTTTGTTTTCCTTTGACAACAGAATTTTTTCCTTGACAGTTTTACACCGAAGCTTGCACAATGAAAGAAAATGATGAATGAAGCTGTGCATAATTCTACATCTTAATCACAATGATCTACAATTCTTTACAGATGTGTGACAACTGACTCAGTACCTTTGTATAATTTTGTATCTGTTTAAGCATGGTGAATGAATTCCAAGAGCAGGTAACAGAGTGAAGACACAGTGACAGCTTCTGAACAAAATATTTGACAGCTGTTACTGCTGGAGACACTGGTCTCACCTCCAGCATGCTGTAGTGTCAAAGTCATAAATAGATGGTGCCCCCTCTGCATTGTTCATTAATATTTTTCCAACTACTTTTTAGCTTAGTTCATACTCTATGTGAGTTAATGTACAGTGTAAATGACTTAATGTACTGAATCTTCTCTAGTGATTTTCCCTTTAAGATTTTTCTTCCTCTCCTTATTCATTTATACCTAAAAAATACAGTTCTGTAATCTTCTTTCATATCATTATATTTCTTCTTGTATTTTTCCTTTGGCTCTTGAATGCACTTCACTTTGTATGGCTTTAAAGAACATTGTTTAATCCATAGTGTTTCTTGAATTTAACAAATCATGTACTGTAGAACATAGTTTCTAACTACAGTTTGTATTTGACACTGTTTATGATTATATACATTATTGTGAGTATATTCAGATCCTTGTTTTGCAAAGATGATTCAGACAGATGAGTTCCAAAATCTAAAGATATGTGCTATTAAAAAAAAAATCAAACGAGTGTATACTCACTTACTCAAGTAATATCAAACTAGCACAGGAAAAAATAAGAGTCCATATCCTTGCTGAACCCCATTTTAACAGAATGACCTCTCCAACAGAACCAAATAGTGCCACCTCCGCCACCACCTCCTCAGCCAGTCTTCAGGCCTCAGCCACAGCCACTACCACAGCCACAGTCCTCTGTCATTTTTGCACCTCCACCCGTCTCCAGACCAGTATGTTATTTATTGATCAATTGACAGAATGTGAGGCATACATATCTATACTACTACAGATTATCCAGAAGGATGCATATTAATTTTATTTTGCTTTTGTAATGGACAAATAATAATAAACTAATTGTGGACTTCTGTCTTCAGTTCTATTAGAAGAGTAAAAAAAAATCTCTCCTCACATGGACTTAGTATCATGATTATGATTAACTTATAATTTCTATTATTTCAGACTCCACCACCTCCACCACCACAAGCACCACCCGCACCACCAGCCCAGCAGTTCCTCCCACCAAGTCCCCCGGTGAGCAACTCTGTGCAGTTCCGGCCTCCACCACCACCATCTCCAGCTCCGGCTCCAATCAACGATGGCAGGAACTTTGGATCTCCCAAGCCTGATTCCCTCCTGCTACAGCCTCCACCACAAACCTTCAGACCATCACAACCTGCATCTCAGCCCCAGACAGTGCAGCCATTCCCTGCACCAATACCCGGTCCAAGTTCCAACAATATCCTTGGCATGACCCCACCTCCCCCACCAGCACCACCAGCTCCTGCACCTCCAGCACCCCTTCCAACCCCAGCTAGACCTCCACCACCACCCATTACTCTCCCACCGACCACACCACAACCTGTAACCGCACGACCAGTGATCCCTGTTGCTCCTGTGTCAAACTCTTTAGACAACCTTTTGGTGAATCCTGTTCCGTCTGTAAATGCTGGAGTCCTTCCTCTTGCCAATGAACAGCCATCAGAGGACCAAAAGTTCCCTCCTTTCGTCTAAGTATTTGTAAATGATTTATTTGTATCATATTTAATGCACCTTTTATTTTATAAGTTGGCTATCATTCTTGAAAAAATATCAAGCTCAGCTTTTGTAAAATATTACATTTCCCTTACAAATTTGTGTGAAATACATTTAGTGTAATGAACATAATTATTGTATCTGATAACTGTAAATTGTTAGGCACCATATGCCTGCATATTCTTTGCCTCAAAGCAATATTCCTTGTGCCACTTAATAGCATATTGCCGAAGATAAATCTACGTCAGGATACTACATTACTTAAGCTAAACTGCTCTGCCTTATCAACTGTAGTTTACTTAATGACTCTTCACAGTGTATATGTTTTAGTGTACCTTGTATTTCAGGTATTAAGTTAACAAGATAGATTTTCATTAGGTCATGCAGCTATTTTATTATACTAAAATATTATATTTACAATTTTATTTATGATTCCATATGCCATAGCTCACCTACTTTATAATTTTATAGTTTAAGATTGTAATTTTCCCAAAAGACAAATTGCCGAATCATGTGTCAATAACATTTGCTTCAATACTTAAATGTTTGTTACTTTGTCAATGATCTTATTTTTTATGAAAGCACTGTTCCATAGTAATATAAAGAAAAGTTGCAGCATACTTGCAACTTACCCTTGCTAGCTAGATAATAATACTTCATTATCATGTTAAAACTCTGAAGATACTGTAATTGTAAATATGCCCTTGAAAGAGACCTGAAACTTTATGTGAGAATCTGTCATAATAGATTTATCTTTAGTCTGTACATTTCACATATACACTGCAGTTTGGTGTTGGTTATAATCTTGCCATATGAAGACTAGGTTCTGGTGCTTTTATGCTTAGCTCATACAGGGACAAAGGAGGCAGAATGAGGCATGCATCTCTGGAGAAAAAGTTTAGATATCTTGTTTGGAGAAGTTAGCAGGTAAAAATTTATATATGACATTGATTCTTTTTGGAATCTTTATGATGATGTGAATTATTTCCTGAATTCAGGTGGCCTAATGAGTGGTTTCAAAGGATATATGAATGCTAAGGAAGTTGATATATTGAGGTAGTGAAGTGACATGAATACTGTAAGTAAACACTGGATTGTAATGTAATGCAAGTCATCGTAATCAAGCTGTTAAAAAATAAACAAAGGATATACACCGAATATCTAGAAAAACAGCTAAAAAAAACAAAGAAAATCATCCCAGTGTAAGCATGTGTATCATCAGAATATATTTGATAATGCACTTAGTCATATGCCTTAAATACATATTCATTGTATCTCTATATACTTCTTAACCTAATACCAGTCAATACATTTTCATATTTTTTCTCTCTTTCTTACTATGAACGAAGCAGTAAGCAGTCACATATGACAAATATTCAAAAGAAAAAGGAAACCTTATCAGAAAGGTAAAAATGCCATTGCATTCTCAATTATGCAACTTGATCTTAGTCCCAACACAGGTCTTGAGTGTTGGCATCTTAAGTCATTTTGCTATCACAACTTAGAATCCCATTTCATATATCCTGTATCATGTTTATATAATGTATATGTATCTTGATGATATATATATTTGTGATGTTTATACTTTAAAGGAAAATGTTACATACATTAATACAAATAAAACCCTAATGTTTGATACTAGATGTGTTTCATTTTCATTTTACAATATATGTAGATATTAAAATTTAATATCATACATTTAATCACAAACATTATTTATTATATACTGCTTCATTTAATCAAGCACGCTAAATACTGAAAAAAATAACATATAATTTCTTCTATAGAGTACTAGCATATAAAAGTCTGTTATATTCCCAAATCCTTTCATTCTGTGATAGTTTAACAGTAGTGATATGACAACTTACACAATTATTTATTTTTCTTTTCTTTTCATTGCTAATAGTTACACACACTGACAAACATTGTGTGTGTGTGTGTGTGTGTGTGTGTGTGTGTGTGTGTGTGTGTGTGTGTGTGTGTGTGTGTGTGTGTGTGTGTGTGTGTGTGTGTGTGTGTGTGTGTGTGTGTGTGTGTGTGTGTGTATGATTGTGATTGTGGGTGTGCATGTGCATGTGAGGGTACATGAGTGTGTGTGTCATTGTGCATGTACATTTACATAAACATATACATGTATATGTACCATGAAGTTTCTAAGCCCATTCTTTATTTCCAAATAGCTTATGTCTCTTCTTTTGTATATCTATACTTATACTTCTCTCTCTATTTCTACTTATCTGTCTCTCAGTCTACCTTTCTCTCTTCCTCTCTTTCTCTGCCTCTATCTCTCTCTCTCTCTCTTTCTCTGGCTCTTTCTCTGTCTCTGTCTCTCTTTTCCTCCTTCTCCTTCTCTTTCTCTTTCTCTTTCTCTTTCTCTTTCTCTTTCTCTTTCTCTTTCTCTTTCTCTTTCTCTTTCTCTTTCTCTCTCTCTTTCTCTTGCACCTTCTTCTCCTTTTCCTTCTGCCTTATACAGATTTCTTTATATATAAAAAGTATTTTTATTCCCTAGGACTACTCTTTGTTCGATATCTACTTTTACAGCCCTAGAAAAGCTTATTAAAAGGGGAAAGTTAACATTTCAATAACAAATATTAACCACAGAAAGTCTGCAGAATCAGTGTAAAAACAAATTCTTACATAAATAATACACAATATACACTTTGTTAGTATTTTATCCATCTGTCATAAAGACGCTTAAAAAAAGTTATTTGTCATGTTGAAATTCCCAGATTAGCGGAAACAGAAACTTTTTAATGACAGAATATCATTCCAACTGATAAATACATCTACAGAATATACTGAGGATTGGATAAGAGAATATGAAGAATAAACCTGTGGTGGTTAACAAAACAAGATTTTTGTCTTGAAATTATACTGGCTGTTCTATCCAGAGAAACCTGCAATTGGCTATCTGATGAAAGACTTCCAGATAGCTTAAGTCTCTTCTCTTATATACGTATACATATCATTCTCTCTCTGTTTCTTCTTCTCTGTCTCTCACTCTGCCTTTCTCTTTTCCTCTCTTTCTCTGCCTCTATATCTCTCTCTCTTTTTCTCTACCTCTATGTCTCTGTCTCTGTTTCTTTCTCTGGCTCTGTCTCTCTTTTCCTCCTTCTCTTACTCCATCTCTCTCTTTCTCTGTCTCTCTGTCTCTCTGTCTCTCTGTCTTTCTGTCTCTCTGTCTCTCTGTCTCTCTCTCTTTCTCTCTCTCTCTCTCTCTCTCTCTCTCTCTCTCTCTCTCTCTCTCTCTCTCTCTCTCTCTCTCTCTCTCTCTCTCTCTCTCTCTCACTCTCTCTTTGTCTCTCTCTCTCTCTCTCTCTCTCTCTCTCTCGCTCGCTCTTGCTCCTTCTCTTTTTCCTTCTATTTTATACAGATTTCTTAATATGTAAAAAGTTTGATATCTACTTTCACATCCCTGGAAGAGCTTATCAAAAGGGGAAAATGAACATTTGAATAACAAATATTAACCACGGAAAGTCTGCAGAATCAATATAATTTTTTTTTTATATATAAAAGTAATACACAATATACACTTTGTCAGTATTCTATCCGTCTGTCATAAAGATGCTTAAAAAAAAGTTATTTGTCATGTTGAAATTCCTAGATTTGCACAAACAGAAAGTAACATGACTTTTTAATGGCAGAATATCACTCAAACTGATAAATACAGAATGCAGAGTATAGTTTAGGGAAGATAAGAGAAAATCAAGAAGAAACCTATGGTGGTTAACAAAACATGATATTTTTCTTGTAATTATACCAGTTTTGTTCTATCCAGAGAAATCTGAAATTGACTATCTGATGAAAGACTGTGATTTATGATGAAAAAAAAATTAAATACCTAACCCCCCCAAAAAAAATAAATAAATAAATAAATAAATAAAACTTAAAGGCCTAAAAGTCCAGCCTGAATGTGGCACAGTGTCAAGTGACTGTTACCACCCCAAATAAATCCCTAGCCTATATTCTGAATTCTGCCAAATACAATGATAAATTGCCAGGAAGGTTTAAAAAATCTATTTGACCAATTATACAGATTTGTGGACGCAGCTCTATAGAGATAACACAGTTCAGGACAATGGGTTGTATTCTAGCCATTAAACAGACATTATATGCAAAAATAAAGCTTCAACTGCAAACTCTT